TCCTACGTGCTGGTCCTGACTGTAAGTTCCTTTCATCCGCCACTAACAGCCACATTCTAGCACTGCGTGAAAGAAAGGCATTTTTTCTTTCTTTTTTTTGTAGCTTAAAGGAATTTCATCCTCACAGCATTTCCCTTTCCCCTTCACTCCGGAGCAGGCCGTAAACACAGAGGTGTGAAGCAGACTCTCACCCAACGGCACAAATTCATGGTCAGACACATTTAACCGAGAGCGCCTCGTCCTAGAATAAAGCTAATTAGCTGCAGCAACATCTTCGGACAGCGTGTGAACATGAGTTCAGCGCAAAGTTCAAATGTGCTGCTGATTGGATCTCCACTTGAAGGGTTAACTGCAAACACACTGATCAGAATTCCTCTCCCATAAAAACACGAGCTTGTTTCTAAGTAAATTCTACCTTCTCCACTATTCTTATTAAGCATGTTGCCTTTATGCACTGTAATACTGCACGTGATCTGAGAGGAGAAGGTGGGTGAGATGAGAGGAAGTGTGTGCTGAGGTTAATCAAACTGTGACTTCTTAACATGACAGCGAGAAGAAAGACTCCTCAGCTCATCATCTTATGAAATAGACCTTCAGAGAACGGTGCAAAACAGTCCAAAATACAATAATTAAAGGAAATACATCCTATTGCTTACAAAATGTCAGCATTAATTATCATTAAATTGTTCAGGTCTGCATACTGAGCTTGGTGAGACTGTAGCCGGGTAAAGGCACCGCTATACCAGAGCGGTTACAGTTTTTACGCCGTATGGACGCGGAACACAGTTCAATAGCAAATTAAATGATTGTTCCGCTTCCTGCAGGTGAAACTAAGATATAACAGCTGATGGTGGAGGGCTTTGAGGAGAGAGCCCCTCCTCCACCAGAGGGATCAATGCACATAAATGGGAGAGGTCACAGACCTTTGACATCTCCTTTCAGCTGGGGGAGGGGCGCAGGCCTTTGTGGGACTGCCTTTAATGATCCAATTGTCGAGTGTGCCATACACCCTCATACAGTACTTACAGTTTGTCTCACCCTGAGCACTCTCAACCCTTCACTTCACTCTATCCCATCAGCCACAAGCGTGAAGCCTGGATTAAAAAAAGAAAGAAAAAAACCCACATCTCTGTTGGTGTCTGTATCCAGCTGCCTCTTCATCACTCCCACATCTGTTTGAACCTTCTCTCCCATCTCTTGCCTTCCTTCTCCTCCCCTTCTCCTCCCCAGACCTTATCAGCTCCTCTTCTGTCAGGCTGCATCTCAGAAAGATGGTCACTTAGAAGGAAAGGGAGACGACCACTTTCTCCACGATTCTGTTGAAATCACACTGACGGAGTAACAAATACGAACCGTTTAGGTTGAAGGTGGCTGGAGGCTGAAGCTACACAAACCGTCGTACAGACGTAGCTCCCTGCACAGGACAGAAATGCACACGAGCCCCGAGCGCCTGTGAATATTTCCGTTCATTTGCACTATCAGTGAACACCGTGTTCCTGGCATTCTTGGCCCTCAATAAAAAAAAAAAAACAGGACAGGTTAAAAGTTTACGAGCATCCTGATTGTGCATCCACGTGGAACGCCAAATGTGTTCCGCGTGGATGCACATCGGATCTGACGGGCTCTTTGAATACTGACGTTTTGATTAAACTGACAGCTGGTTTGATCTCTGATGCACAGTGACCTTGCTGAGGCCGTGAGCTAATTCTATCTGTCTGATCCGGCCCGTGTGTTTTAACTGAATGATGGATCTGACACCTGCACTGGACGCTGCTACTGCTCAAGACAACTCCGAAAGAAAGGCACAATATCTTGATAAATAGTGAAATAAATCCACAATTCCTGCGTGACTGTTTTGCTGTTTGGCATGTGCAGAGAATTTAACGAGGTTTAATATGATGATTGATCTAAATTTGAAACTGATGGGATGTAACTAAATACATTTACTTGAATACTGTGCACAAGGACAACATTTAGATTTAATGCCACTTCATACATCCTCTATTTTGTGCTTTCTAACTCGCAAAAATAGGTTTTCTAAAGGCATCTAAAAATGCTGCTAAGATATCAATGCAAATGTAATCCTATTTTAAAAACATAACATCGAAATAAAGACACTCAAAGGAGCTAAAACTGCTGTAATGAATAAACTTCCTGATTCTATTTTGAGGACGTGTTTCTGTATTTGCTGAAGCAGTTCAGATTTTCCTTGTAGTTTTTTGAGCTGATTTTGGATAGCTGCGATGTGCTGAATCCAAACGCTACGCTGGTTTTGCTCAGTGAGGTTTAAAAGTTTGATTTGATGAAACACTTTGCTCGTGTTTACCTTCACAAATGTTTACGCTCATCAACTTTAGGATCATGCAGCTCATGAAAAGGATTAGAAAAGGAAATTTTTCCTCTAAAATCTGATTTCATTTGAGAAATATTAAAATAAATCAATCGCTAATGTCAACAAATGTCATCGATTTAGTGGTAAAACAGATTTTTTCAAATTGAGTTGGCATAAAAACCTGATACAGAAAAGCAGACGTCATGTTTGGATTCAGCGTTGATAAAATGTCCTAAATCAGTTTAAAAATAAATCCTCGACACCTTCAAGAAAGTATTTTTTTGTAACCCAGTGTTATATCTACACTGCAGTACTGACATTTTTTAAAACATTTACTTTTCTTCCAGCCTGTGATCTCATCACAGAACGAGTTTTAATGACACACACGCTTCAACAACACTGGGCTCGAGAGACGAACCCGGCTGCACCGAGGCTCCTGACACCTGCCTCAGCAGTCTGATGAATGACGCCTATTTGGAGGACCACCTGTTTTCTGGCTCCTAAAAGTGCGAAACAATAGCACTGATCTCTCTATTTTGGGATTCTGTCCCTTGTACCATCTGTACTCGTGAGCAGAAAAGCCCACAGTCACTAAGAAGCACCTCTGAAGGGATCAACAGAAACATCTGGCCGCGCCGCCGCCGGCGTTTTTCAGATCTAAACTGGCATCGTGGATCATCTGAAAGAGTTTACCCCGCCGATCAATATGTAAAATGTTTCTGGTGCTGCCACAACAGAAATGGAAACCTCTGAGTTGCTGATTGGATCGGTAATCAATAGTATGTATGTGTTTCTGTTGTGACCAGTCTCGGTTATCTATCACACACCGGTTTGCCAAAACATTGCGCAATAACTAGAAAGATGACTGGGCTTTTAAAATGAGCATCTTCTATCTCCCTAAAAAGAGAAACATGAAGGGGTCAACTGAGCAAACAACAAAAAGATGATGTGCTCAAAATGACAGTGACAGAATAAGGAGAACAGATAAACCAACCTGTTACCGTGGTGACAACCGGCCCACCTGTAAATGGATGTCGTCTATCCGCTGAGCTTTTTAAAGGAAGAAATGTCACGTTGCATTTTTTGGAAAACCTATTTGCCTCACAGCAGGTTTTCTACACAATCCAACGACTGTGAATGAGAAGCTGGGCACGAAAGAGGACGCGAGGAGAGGCAGCCGTTACCGCAGCGACACCAAAGGTCAGCAGAGTAGGATCTGAGCACGCTGGAAAGATGTTTTAGTTTGAGGGTGAACGTGCTACGACTACCTAACTTGGTGCAATTTTGATTTAAAACAAGAAGGAAACATGCACGTCTGTACTACTGATGGATATCACGCTGCTCACAGTCTGATATTGCACCAACTGGAGGCACAGCTTTCAGCTTTAAAAACTATATCCCAGCCTCTTTACAGCCAATATAACTCCTGTGTTTGTTAACTGAACAGTTCAGATGCTGCACAAACCCCCCCGAGCAGCTCAAAGCCTTCACAAGGGAGAGAGACGTCTCCTTTAAGGCTGAAGAGAGAAACCTGTCCGAGTGCAGGAGTGCTGTCATGGGGCCGTACTTATCTCCTCCCAGATTAAGTCCCAATTGTTCGCTGGGAACAAAGGCAGTCAGTGAGGAAACCAGCCCCCCAAGGGCCAGATGGTCAGCGCTCAGAGCCCCCTGACCCCTCCAGCCCTTGCCCTCTCCGACAAGGCTGTGCGTGCTCCAGGCGGGACCGGCCACCCGGCTAACTCACAGTCCTGGTCTCTGTGAGTGTGTGGTACCGGGCTACCTGTGTGACTTACAGTAAAAGCAGAGTTATTTGTTTACACCCTGCATAGCTGCAGAAGACAATCACAGCCTATCAGGTATTATGAGTCTGCACCTGATGGCCTTTAAAGCAACATAAATTTATTGGCCACGGTTATAAATTCCTCCGTAATAAAAATACTGAAAAGTGCCCGTTCAGCATCTGAGATTAGAGCTGCCTATCAAAAGTGGCTCTGTGCATTTAGGAAGATGAACATGTGTGCTCTGCTGTGGCCATGTCACACTCATTAGCTCCACAGACACCAGGAATGCAACCTCTGGGACATGAAACATGAGCAACAGCAGATCAGATGTAGTCAAGACAGACTGGTTTGCTTGTAATTACAATGACAAACCACCAAATATATCTCCTGCTCGCTCTTATCTGATGTGAGTGAAGCTGAGCTGCTGCAGAGCCCCGGGCAGCCCGGACAGTCACCAGCAGACTGACATGGACATGAGCGGTCTGCTTCCTCACATACCTGCCACAGCTTCATTAGGAGATACTAATGGAGTCTTAAACACCTGAGTTAAAAGGCTGCTTTAGCGTTTGAATGCGGGTCACACAGAGGAAACGTGCACATAAGCCACAGCATGAGGTCACGTTCGGTCATTTGCTCAGTGGGTTAAAAAAAAAAAAAAAAGGACATTTCTGCATTCAAACACGTTCACGTCCTCCTCCACAATCAACTCGTGCTTCAATCTCCCGGTGCAACAAACTTTCAGCATCTGTTGCTGGCGGACTGACGGGCTGCCGTCACCCCGGACCGGCTGCTCATCACAGCCCGCGTGCATTCGTGGCACGGTGACATCTAAACAGGTGTGTTCCACGCGTGAACACATGCACTACGCAAACTCGCACGAAGCCTACCTTGTGCACACGGGGACTCGTTACATGGCGATGTCCACGAAGAGCCGAGTTTTCTGTGTTAATTTGCGTCCCTGACACCGAACACCGCCGCCGCCGCTCCGCTGCTGCTCCGCTGCGCTCTGCTCCAGCTGATCTGCGCACAGCGACGGAGCGCCGAGTGACGTCAGCAGGATACTGTACGTACCGTTTGGTTCGGTTCACTCCGCCACGCTAATGGGAGCCGGAAAGCACAAAGACACACAAACAAAACTGGTCACTGACTGTGCAAATAAAAGAAAAGAAACCACGTAAATAAGCGGAATTAGGCAACTGTAGTGACAGAGTGTGGCAAGGAGGAAAAACACTAATGAAGACATCCCCCTGTGGAACAGTGTCTACTTTCCCTCAAAACAGCCCGTGAATTTAGAGCAGTAATTCAATATGTGCACCAGAAGTCAATGAAGACATATATAGGGTATTTAAATCATGAAAGTCTACAGTTTTTATATTAACAAACTAAATCCAACATCTAGAAACGGTGAAAGATGCCCCCTCTGCTGGTTTGACAAGCCCCCAATCCTTACAAACTTCACTTTATTCTCAAATTTTGATGTTTCTCTGACTTTAACCGCAACATAAATGTTGTATAATACATATGTCACATTAAATTTTTAGATTTATGGCACAAAAATAATGTCAAACCAGGGAAAATTAGCGACAACGAAGAATTTAAGCTAGCAAGCAAGCTAACACAGCATAGCGTTACTAGCTTAACGTAGTTAGCTAGTTAGCCTTTTAGAGAAATAACAGTTTTTGTTTGTTTGTTTTACAGCTTTTATGTTACTGTATTATATGGGGATATAAATAATTCATCAGAAATTAGCAAGGTTGGAGTCTTAATTTGAAAATAATGTGAACTTACAGTTATCGGGAAGACGTAGCCACAATACAAGCTAGCGAGGTAATGCTACAGCAAGCTAACTATGCATAATGTTAGTACCTTAACATTGCCTAAGGTAGTTAGCCTTTTAGACAGAAACTAGTACATTTTTACCTCAGGTAAGTTTTATAAGATGATAGTGTGTGTAATTTATCAGAAATCTAACATTAGCGAGGTTAGAGTCTTATTTTGTTCTGTCAAAATGTGCATCAACCCACCTCAGAACCACCTGTTGTGGCTTCATCCCACCTGTGAAACTGTTTCAGTACTTTTCAAGGATAAACAAGGCCGCTTCCAAGAGAAGAACTGAAGTAATAATAATAGATGTTTTGTTTTTTTTTACAGCTTTTATGTTGCTGCATTATATGGAAGCGTAAATAATTTATCAGAAATCTGACATTAGCAGGATTAGAGTCTTTATTTGAAAATAATTTGAAATCAGTCACCAGGAACACGTAGCTGCCACTAGCCTAACTCGTTAGCCTTTTACACAGATAATAGTACACTTTAAGGTTTTTACTGTGTTTACTACTGTATTTGTTTTCAATAATATTGGCATATTAATAAATTGTTTTAAAAGGCGCTTTATGAACAATATTGTTATTATTTTACTGTATTCTTGTTTTACAGATCATACTGTGATTCAGACAATTAAACCTTATATCAAGGATGGACAGAACACTTGATAGATTCATAGCGAAATAGCAAAAATAAATGGATGAGGAAAGGAATTAAATAAAAATCAAGTGCACTAAAACAAAAGCAATTAATGAACAAGTAAATCCAACATGCAAAGAAATGAATGAGTCATTTTTCAGTGCATACACAGCGAGCAAGCATGCATTCCTACACATCTGCCAACATCTGTATATACAGCTGAAACATCAGCCTCTACAGCTGCTTCCTTCTGTTTAACTTACAGGTTTGCATCATTCAACTTTCTGAGCACAGCTCATGTAATTCTGCAGCGATGGGTTTTAAGGTCACTAGTTGGCAGAAATACAGAATTGATGCATTGAGTTTAATTGGCTTTATTGTATTTATGACCTTCATATTGCTTCCTCTTCAGGTATCAGAGCAGCTTCATTGTCCGGTTTGCCACATGTGCAGCACACAGAGGAGTGAAATAGATCAACTCTGAGGCCCCACGGTGCAAAATGAGCGTAGAAAAAAAACGTATAAAAATAGCAAAAAAAGAAATAGAAAAGAGAGGAGAATGTAGGTATATACAGGATACAGACAATAAACAATAAACAGACTTGTGTACAGAAATCAGCACTAGAACTAAAGATTGAGGAACAGGTGACAGTATATTGAATAAACACTAAAATCAAGATAAAAAGTCTGATTTTATTTAAATTCTTGCAAACAATTCCTACCATAAGTAGTAGAACATCGCCCCCTACAGGAGGACCTCAGGAACACACAGATCGCACTGCAGTCATGTGGCAAGCAAACCGTGACAGAGTTTGATTTTTTTTTTTTTTTTAATTTGTGCAGCCTTTTCAGCAAATATATAATCAGGGGGGAAACCTGGACAGCATTTCTGGAACCTGGTGCCAATAACAGACAGAACAGAGGAGCTGGTCAGTTTCTAACTGGGTGGATGAACTTGATATTAAGAGATCGTCTATATGGTGGATTTTAATCTGATCTTGTACATCACCGAACTTAGAAAACAAAACAACAAGCTGGGAGTTATCACTGGAAATCTCTGTGACCTTTAAATTAACATTTTAATCAGTGCAGTTCAGGCTAAAGCAGATAATTAGCCTGTGTGGTCCCTCCAACCGTCCGCTGCTGTGGACCTTCAGACACCATGAACATGACAGCTGGTTCTGACCCGGTGCACATGTGGCACACACACACTCGAGCAGTGGATTGGGGAAAATAAAAATTGTAAATCAAAATAAATGTGCTTTCTCCCTCTTGAGCAGCTTTCCTCTGAGGTTCATCGCTCACCGGTGAGTCTGGGCAGCAGCAACGTGTTGCCCTCAGCGGGCTCAGCTCTGTGAATGCGCCTCGGCACGACGCATGCGCAGTGCTTGACATTTTGAAGTCGCTTCTCCGGGGTGTTTGAACAGGAAGGCGGACATGTTGGCCAGGCTGTGGGAGAAAATCGGGCATCGTCTGCGATTGTTTTCCGAAAACTAACACGCATCGAGCCCGATTTATACGCGTTGGATGTGAGAGATAGCGCCGTGTGGACGGGAAGCGGCCGACCGTCAGTGACAGCGGCCGGGATGCGGCGGATGAACCGGCGTTAGACGCGCTTACGACTCCGCGTTTAAACTGATCGAAATTTGGAAGAAGCAGAAGTTTTTTTTTTCCCACCACTTCTACTTTTGAGCTGTCAGATTCGTTTGCCGTTTTCTGCACGGGCCCTGGCACAGCGATGGGACCGGGCCTGGACTAGCCTTCCCTCTGACTCCGTGTTTTTTCCTCCAACAGACGTTTACGTTGAAACTCTTTTGTTTGGATGCAGCAACATTTTAAGCTCTTATCCTCAGCGGCATCCTACGGAGGCTGACTAATCTGTCGCCGCATTTGTCTTCACCTCTGAAGTTGTTCGCCACTCACGCTGGGAAAAAAAACACATCTTTGGTGTCTGGAAATGTGGCTTTTGCATGTTCAGTGCAGCCGTAACGCCTCCATTGTCCGTGAAAGCTCGAGGAGAACGATGTGTTTGCTTTGAAGTGTGGCGTAAAGTTCTCACGAAGAAAGGAACATTTGGCTAGCTAGCTAGCTACCGCTGGCTGCTAAAGCTAGCTAGCCAGCCGTCTGCCTCGCCAGTGAGCTGTTTTTGTTCATAACCCAACATCGGGACTGAGTTTAACAGCAAGATGTCTGCTGGGGAGAGTATGGAGGCTCGGTTTGAAAAAATCGATGCCATGTTGAAGGACCCAAAGTCGGAAATAAACACGGATTGTCTGCTGGTAAGTTTGTAGCTTGGCTAGCTGGCTAAGCTAGCCAACGTACAGAGGCAACCATTCGGGGTCAGGCTACTCCTTGGAGCAGAAATTCTTTCCGAGACCAACAGTTCGTCTCAGTTGTCACTGAAGAAATGCTGACATTGACGCCGACAGGCCGGTTTGTCTCACACGCTTTGTGAAGTTTAAACGCTCCTGTACGAGGGTCTATAAAGTCAGAACTTTCAGAAAGGAAGCAAGCAGCAGTTTGAACCGTCTGCTGCTCTGTAGTCAGATGTTGTATAAACTCAGTCAGAAACAGTCAGTGTGTAAGGCAGGAGATAGCTGGCACTACGGTACATGCTTAACGCCCATGTTCTGCCAGCAGCTAATAACTGGCACCAATGAAGGAGTAATTAAATTAAAAAGCAATGGCCACTAAAGTAGACTGACAGATGGCATCCGCTGTGCTCTACAAAGACAGGCGCACTTTGTCAGACTGTTGTAGGTTCAGGGCAGCTACAACAAATCATGTCACTGCATCTTCCAAACAGTTTGTTCCTGGCTCAGAGTCCAAACTGGTCATGGTTTGTGTTGTTTGGATCATCAGTAAGTGAGTGGCTGGGCGTGCTGTTTTGTCTAGATTTACTTATCTGAGCTTCATGTGAGCAGATAGGCCTCCTGCAAGCCTGTCGTAACCTGCAGGCCTCCAGCTGCATCAGTACACCTGTTGGCTGGAGTTTGGCCGAGCTGCTTCCTGTCTACGGGTGACAACTCACAAAGCGACGACTCTCCTGTCTGAGGAGAGAAGGTAACTGCTGCCACGTGCTAAACCCCGGAGCAACACCTTGGTTGGTTTTTATTACATGCAGCAATCCCTGGAACTGACTCATGCCAAGTGGATGTTGTTGTGTCACGGCTTTGTTGATGTAAGGAGCATTCCAGCTCGGCTGATGGTGGCACTGGGTTTCTTTTCACAAGGACTTTAGTGACTCATGGGAGGCAGCTCTGCTCAGATGTGGTCAATGGAAAAAACTTGCCCTGGATTTCCAGAGCTGACCTATATCACCTGTGTTTTGTGTTTGCAGGTATGACTGGGTGTTGGTTTAGGGATCACCACTCAAACTAGAAGGAGTGAACAGTAGCTGTACACAGTGACTTCATTGTGACTTGTTTAGGTGTTAGGTGCATATTCTCTGATGATTGATTCCTGTCTGTTGATTGTGTGATATGGGACATGTGAGCCTTCAGACCGATCTACTGAGCAAGGGAACATCAGGGAGGCAGTCTGTTATGATAAGGGGGCTTGTCCTAGAACTCCACCCACACACCCATCTTGAAGTGTTTGTGTATAGCTGCTGCTGTAGATAGCTGTCTTTTTAAAAGAAAACTCGCTCAGTCTCCATGACCTCTCATCATGCTGCAGAAAGAGGCTATTAAACTCACCTAAAAGTGCACACGCTCTGCATTTTTAATGGCGTAAAGCTGTGGGGACTGTTCCTACTGGCAGCCGCACACACAAGGGTGTTGTTCGTCTTTTTTCCCCTCTCTGCAATCTCCCCTGATCAATGAATGGAGGCCTTTTGCTGAGGCTCTCTCTGCCACCATGCAACTCCACCCACAGCTTAATAAAATTCCATGCTAATCAAATAACCTCTTGTCTTTGACTGGCCTGGAGTTCCCTGTGTGTCCCAAAGCCATTCTGCATGTCTGGAGAGAGCTGAGACCAGGCAGGCAGCTCTGAGGTAGCTGGGTGTGGGCTCCGCTCTCTACCCATAAACCAAAATTATGTGGACTGAAGACTCATGTTTCTGAGGGCTGTGAATCAGGACATTTAACTCATAAAGCAGCCAACATGCTTGGCTATGAGTAATAGGTTCCATCAGAATGCACAATACAAGCCTTTTACTGGCCATGTTTCTGTACCTGGCAGTGCTTTCTGTCTGAAGTATACCACTGTTGGGATTGTGCTTTTTCCCTGCAGAGCGCTGGCCTGTGTTGTGGTGATGGTGACATTTGGCCTGTACCTTACCACTCAGCTCTGGGCTTGCATATCTAGTCACTGTTTTCCAGCCCTGTTGCCCTTATCTTTGCACTCTAAATAAATCCTGCTTGGAGTGAAGAGTGCCTTATCTGGATGGACTGCCCCCTCCCCAATCATTGTGCTCTAGATGGGCTTCCAAAGAGCCAATCTGATCACACAGAATTCCTGACATTGTGATGTGGAAGCTCAGTGCCATTAAAGGCCTAAGCATTGCCCATATATGCCGGTCTTTTGGCTAAAATAAATCACTTGCGTCCAGTAGTTTTATTCATTTGTGCCGCTTGAACATCCTCTGGAAGTTGGTGCAGAGAAAGTGTTGTGTTGTTTTTCTATTTGTGAAAGCATTAAGTCTAACTTTGTAGCTTCAGTTGCGCTTCCAGAGAAATGGAGTGTGTTCATTCATCGTCTGGTAAATTAGAATGGTTGAATCGATATGTTGGAACTTGTTTTGCACTGTATTTGAGACGCATAAAGGCTTCCTGGCATCGTCTTTGTTCTTACCGTGACACTTGGAGTGCGTTCGCTTCTCTACGTTTGATCCCTCTTTCATCTGTTATTTGGACCTTAAATCTGTAATAAGAGTAATTACAGGAAACGGCGAGGCCAATAAACCAGATCTGTAGACTGTGATTGTATGAGCACTGCATGTACATGTTGGGGTGGAGGTTCTTACTCTGAAGTAATTCAGAAGCAAAAATTATTAAAATCAGCAACACAGTAAAAAATTCAGTTCGTGTCGACCAGTGAAACAAACGAGGAAAATCATTTGTGGTCATTTCTAACACTGCAGTAAATGCATGCACAAAGGAAAAGGCTCATCTGTGATAACTAAATGAGGCTCAGTGTATTAAATCATATCTGCAGGTTAATGCCTGCCAGTGTTCTCAAATTAGATCTCATCCCACAACGTTTGTGTTGGTTGATTAATGGATTTGCTCGTTACTGCATAAAGCCAGCCTGTGTGAAACATTTTATTGTTTTAGCATTTTAAGAAAAAGCAGCCTTAATACATGCTTTACTTGAGAAACATTTGCTCTGGCAGAGGCCTAGCACTCAGTCACAACTGTGTAGAACAGTCTATAGAAGTTGATGGAACATGTTGCTGGCATGCGTCCTGATTCCCCTGCATGGTGGATCTGCTGAGGGCCAATCTGACTACAGTGAATCCTTGTCTGTGTTGAGTGCCTGCACTTGTCCCAGCAACCTTTGCCTCAAATAGATAAACCATACCTGTAAGGTGTTGTCTGCACTGATAAGCAGCTGCCGTCTGTGTGGTTCTATATTTACTAAAATATTTGCAATTTTGACCAAAGGAAATGATTAAAAAAAAAACATTCTCATTGAGCATGTAGGCCTGTGTCGGGGGATTGTGGCTGTGATTACGGAGTACTTTCTCGGGATGCACTAATACCAGTATTGGTACAATACTGTGCTTTTGTGTTTGCTTTCAGAAAAATATAATAATACAATGCTAACCTCTTGTTAGATGGACAGGTAGGCACAGGAGAAGCAATGGCAATATTTTAGGATAAACGATGATGACAAAAGGAAAGCTATGCTCTGCTAAATCATCTAGAGGAGGAGTGAAAAATACCACCTTTTAATTCAATAGATTTGATCAGAACAAGCCGAGTTGAAGGGATCTGCTGCTGGTCGCAGTGGGACACAGCAGCAGCCGACTGCAGCAGTCACTGAAGTAGCGAGAGGAGACGTCCAGTGCTGCTGACCCACAGTCAGAACAAATAACAGAAGCTCCCGCGTTGCTTCTGATGACTGGCTGTTGTCAGTTGTAGATGACAAAGGATTTCGTCATCTCCTCAGCATACAGGAGCCCAATTATGAGATTCCCAGCCGTCCCCACATGACAGAAACTGTGCTAGCAGAGCTTCATGGCTTTGTGAAAAAGCACATCAACACAGTGTGCGAGACGTTTCAGCCTTCAGCTTCACTACTGATATTTGGACCAGCAGCGTCGGCTCTTACTTGTGTTTGGTGATTTATGTCAGACGTGAGCAAGTCCAGAGTGGAAGAGGTCAGTGGGAGGAGGAGGGACAGTAAATCTGGCAACTATCTAAATATCTTAACTAGCTATCATCAGCAAGCTTTCTCCACAATCGCAGAAGCTACCTTTTAATGGTAACCGTTCTTCATGTCACCGTTCTTCATGTCACCCAGTCAGATAGTAATGCAGATGATCACAGCAGGCTTGAATGCACCGACCACCTTCATATACCCTGCAAGGTCAACATCATTAACACACAGGAAATATACCAACTATATTTATTTGTACTTAGCTGTCTTACAATATAGAGAATCACTAGTCTGGATGTTAAATGATGAATTACATTTCCTTGAGTTGAAAAACATGTATTTGTGGTGAAGTTTATAGTCAGCGTTTGATCCATGCCTATTGTCACAACGGTTCAGGGCTGTCAGTTGTAAACTGCTCTCCTCAGCTTTTCAGTTATGGGAACAACAATTGGCTGAGCTATTTGTTGCTCTGCATTCCCTCAACTGGCTGATTATGTGCAGGAATGCACGCGAAAATGATCCAGTCTTTTAATAATTGGATTGCTTTTTTGTTTTTATTCACCCATTGAACTCTACAGCCTTCTGCATCTCTTTTATTTTTTTCTTAAGGACTAAAATCCCAGTTAGTTTGTCCCACTTACAGAGAGCTCCGTGACCCCTGTCCACTAAAGATGGCCGCAGTGAAATGAATAGATGTTTAATGGGATGGTTATTTGTTGGAGCAGTGCAGTCAGGAAAGCAGAGTTTTGCTTGAGAATCCAGAGCTCGGTCAGTGGAAACACGTGAGTGTTCTCTGCTGTTGGAATAACTCAATTATATTTTCACATGAAAGCATTTGTGACAGTGATTCTCACTCACTGGGACCTCATAAGAAAATGGAATGCCCCTGTTTTGCCACCCCTGGGTTCACTGTCACTGCCATTTATCCAGTAGAGTTGTTAGATATGCAGTCTTTCTAGGTAAGTGGGATTTCCTGTCAGTAGGTATTATGTACAGCAGCAGTGTGTAAAAGTAGTTTGGACAAAGCACATAGTTAAACCACTGAAGTCTCACTGGTGGGTTTCAAAGAGCACCAACTGAATCCACTCAGGTACTTATTTCCTCCTGACTGCCTTTACCTGAGAGTTCGCAGTGAGGAAGCCATGCGGTATTTCATGCTTTGAATGGCTTCATTGGTTTGTATGATCACATTCGTGTTTACATGGGCACAGCCCGCCGTGGAGCTGCCTTTATTTGCCCGGCGAACTGAATGGCTGTCTGCACAATTGCTCACATGTGGAAAGCATATTGTCTTGAAGAGGTGGCAGAAAAGGAAGTGAGAAGTAGGGCTCGACTCAGGCCAGTCCACATGCCTTGTGCTGGCATGCAGAAAGGGATGATGTGGCTGAGTCTCTCATGGAAATTTTAACTCAGACTTTAATGTCTGGAAAAGAGCTTGTGTGTTGTGTGGATTTCTCTCCCCTAAAGCTTAAGAAAGAGAAGAAATAATTGCCGTATGTGATGCCAACCACTGGCTCAGTGTGTTTTGTATAAGTACATTTTTTACATAATTACCACTTTTCATTAACATGGTGATGAGACGGTTTTTCATATTATTATTTAGTAATCCCAGGGATGTGTCGCCCTCTGGCTGGAGCAGCATCAGCAGAAATAGGATAACAGGAGCACTGCAAGCTCTGGTTTGTTTTCCTAGCGATTTTTCCCAAGGCTGCCACATAATGAAACATAGCCTGTGGACTGCTACCGCCCAGCGCTTGTTGTGCTGAGTAAATCATATGCACGATATTACTCAGTTTCGAATGATGTAGATTGCCAGCATATCCTATATGGTCTGTTTTTAACAGCATTTAATCTCAGCAACTCTTCCGATGTAATTGTCATACGTTTTTGTCTGTTGTCTATATGATTCGTACATTTGGAAGTGTAGATGTATTATTTTTCTGTCTGCATTGCTAGAGTCACTTTTATTTTTTCCGTTTTGCACTGCTCACTGCTGCTGCACATTCATGCCTTTCTCCTTCTGTTCGCCTGGAAAGCAGACAAACTCATGAGCCCTTGGAAATTTCAGAGCTGCGAAGAAGTGTGGTAGAAGTGCTTATCTAGGAACGGCTTCACCTCTGGAAATTACTCTGAATTACTAGCTAAGAAAAGGCTTTGTCAGGGATTCTGCAGCATCAGCCTCGTATTTCTGTAGCGTTGCTGCTGCTGGCTGCTCTGCTGAGTGGTTTGATAGCTAAAAACAAAACGGAGGCAGCCATCACGGGTAACTTAATATATTTATCTGACTTGTCTCTGCGTGTGAGACAGAAATTTGACTCAAAATGAAGATGTGTTTAACACTGAGGAATCATTTAATTGCAGATGAATATGCGGCGCTTTGAAGTGCACGTCTTAGGATTGTGTTGTTATGATGGAAGGTTTGTGTGCAGGTAGAGATGTTGCATTACTTTTTACACAAGCTCCTGCTCAAATACAGTATGCCTGTAAATATTAATGCAAATCGGTGCACAGGATGGAATTATGGCAATACTAAGTTTTATATAATATTCTGTATCAGCTAAAACCAGTCTGGTTCATTTGTTCAACTATTTATTTTCTTTTTTCTTTTCCATTTGCCACATTATAGATTTACATGTATATCATAGATCAGGTTTTCTGTATTATCCACTCCGTATACCTCTGTATTTCAGAATATTCTCCCCTCTGTGAGGATAGATGACACCACAGCAGAGATGTAAATGCAGATATTTAGTCTTGGGACAGTTGCTGCTCACTAACCTAAATTTACGTCTTTAAATTCAACTCATGTTGCATATTTTGTGTCTGAAACCAGTTTTATTCCACAAACCGTCTGATGGTTTCTTAGCTTGTGCTCTAGTGTGATTTTTTAGCTCCTGCATTGCCCTGGTGTTTCACTAGAAGTGTCTTAGCATGGCTGTCATGCACTGTGACTTTTCTTTGTTTTTTCCTCTATTTGTTCTCTTATTGGACTAGCCAGCCCCACATGCACCGGCCCTCCACTCCCTCCGCCTTCCCGTCATAGTGTTTAACACTAGTGCTGATTGAAAGTAAGGCTCACTGTGTGACTCTGTGCTTGGGATGGTTTTTTCCTCTCCCTTCCTTCACTTTTTGTTGAGAACTTGTTTGGCCACATACCTAAAATAGCTCTCTGACGTGTACAGTCCTGTTAAGGAATGTTACTGTGGCTGTCCAGAGTTCTCTGCGGCAGGAAGTTATGCAAACGTGCATTGCTGAGCACAGAGCCTTGTGATTAGGGTCCTGAAGGACTCAGTTCTTCAGCGTTTTTTCCCAGTGTAGGCTGGCTGGATACTGTATGGCTAACAAGGCCCCCTTTTCTCCCAGCCTATGGTCTGCCTTGTGTAAATAGTCCCCTAATGTTTGCTCCTGGAGTTTTAAAGCTGAGCTGAAGATGGCTCTGTGTGTTGATCACAGCCCTTCCACACATTAATTTCCCATATTCTGTCCCAGTAAACGTCTAAGTTACTGTTGTTCTTCCTACCAACCGTTCTCCACCTCCCATTTTCCTTTCCCCCCTCCCACCTGCCTTTTCCCTGTTTCCACCCATCCTGCAGGGCATTTGCTTGTTTTATGTCTCACATAGCGGGGTATGGCCCTGACCTCCACCGCTGAGCAGAAGCAGCAGAGTTACTTAAGAGGATTCCTTGCCTTGTCTGAGCTGCTGATTCACCATGTGTCATCATTGCTTTGCTCAGAGATGCAAAAAGACATTAGTTATTAGCAGATTCACAATACTGGAATGACGGGATTCCTGCTATGATAGTGAGTTCACATGTAGATGTCGCTTATGTCAACAAGCAAAGGCTGTTCCATATTTTAGTAGCAGCTCAGCTGTAACGCGTACCTCTGACCCTTTTAAGACAAAAATGCAGACGAGCTGACCTGTGACTGTATCACAAGATGCTCAGTTTCAACATCTGGCTCACACCTGCTTTAGGGACTGCATAGCACTACGAGTGTTCAAGTGTTTGTGTGCCTGTCTTTTTTCAGCCATTCTGGATTATGGAAGATTAGATTAAACCCTGCCCGTGGCACTTATTCTCCTGCCTAGCCTGAGGCTAGATAGCGCCTTTGTTTTGCTGCTCTGCAATTCCAATATAATGACTCACGCGTTATTTCAAGGGATATTGAACGTCTTTATTTTATTTATTGACACCTGTAATTGTCAGCATTGTTTTCCAGCTAACTCAGATGATGCTATTCAAGCTGTCCTGATACTGAGGAGGGTGAGGGGCTGGTGAGGGGGGAGCAGCTTCTGTTATTGAAGTGGGTGTCAGTGAGGTCGTACGGTTGACCTCGCCATATGGTTACTGATGTATTTCACTATGTGGCCTCAGTAATCACAAGTTTTTATTTCTTGAGTTTCTTTAATTACAAACCTGATGAACTGCTGCTTTTTAGCATCCAGAGTAGTTTTACTATTTCCATTAGCTATATTTTAAATATGCTCCAGAGAAGCTGCAGTACTGCAAATCTGTGAAACACTCCTTACCACGCTGTCCATATGTGCTGATTGGGGTTCAGCTGTACGGCTCATACATGCATCCTGGACAGTCAGTCCCTGAACCGTCATCATGCTTTCAGTGACTGTGAGTTTCAGAGTCGAGTAGATTTATAGATGAACGCCGTTATTTTAAAATATTTTCTGCCTGCATTTCTGTCTCTGTAAGGCAAAGTGTAGAATGTGCCTCAGAGCTACGTTGAACATGTTAACGAGAATCGTTTGAGGTCCTTCAGTGAATGTTTGACTTTTGTTTTTTGCTCTAAGCCAAAATCCTTTTTTAATCAATGTTTTTTAAGTTTATAATTGATGTAATCCAGACTGGAATCCTACTGCTACCTTTGTGCAGAAACCTCTGCTCAGAGCCAGTTCACAAAAGCCCTTTTCCTGACAGCACACCGTGTTTTGCTTTTCACATAATGGCCGTGATGTTGCTGGATGCTGTAGTTTTGTTTTCCTGTTTGTTGACCCTTCTCTCCTTTCTTCAGGACGGCTTGGATGCGCTGGTATATGACCTTGACTTCCCTGCCCTGAGGAAAAACAAGAGCATTGACAACTTTTTGAATAGATGTAAGTACCTTGCATCACACTCCATCCCTTCTGGTCTCCTCTAACGTGGATCTTCCCATGTCTTTCACTTTAACCATTTGTGTCTGCAGACCCTCATACATACGGGTGTAAGCCTAGGCTCAGAAAAGAGGGCTGTTTTTGGGTCACAGCCTCTATGTGGGCTTGGACACAATAGGTGTCTGCTGCTTAGTGTCCCCAACAAAGGGGCTTTCATAAATAGCTGGTGACCCACATGATGCCTATCAAGGTTGGCTTCTCTTTTTCATAGTGCCCTCAGACTGGGGAACCCCTATTACTATGTTTAGACTCAAAAATGTCTATCCTTGGCTGGTAGTAATGCTAAGTAATTCTGTTTTTCATTAAAAGATTGAGTATTTCTGCTCAATTCACAAGTAAATGAGTAAGACATGGCAGCTCTCGTGTTTGTCCCGGAGCTCGTTCTCACAGAGCCAGCAGTGTCCGAGGTGGGGGTGGGGCACTGCTGTAACACGGGGTATATACGTCTTTAATTTACTGAATTACATATAGACACACGTATAATTTAACTCTAAACACGTATAAACGAACTAAGCTAAACAACAAATGCTTACTCTCCTTCCTTTTCTGTTAGAGCAGCGTGTTCTCCCTCCCTGTGGAATAATTTATAGCCTTCACTTTTCCTAAAGAGTTCTTCACTAAATGCACTTTTCCCTGAAATCTGTTGAGGTCTGTATTCATACCTGGTATTGATTGTGTAGTGGCTGACGTTATGGAGAACTGACCGTGTTCCCTACGCTGTAGAAATGTGCAGATTGCTGCTGCTGTAACCGTGAAGAGCTAAGTCTTGTTTTGTCCATGTAGTGACTTTTCTCTCACTGTAAACAGCTTTTTAAAGCGTTTTATTAGTTTGAGGAAAACCAAAACATAGCATTTCATATTTGAATATCAACCTAAGCTACTGTAAACCCTTGGGCACAAACTGCCATTAGGAATCTCCTCAATTACTCTTGGTCCCGTACTTTTGTGTAAAGCACTGATGGATATGGTCTAATGGACCAGTTGTCTACTGAGACACTGGTCCTCAGCAGCATGCGTTGCCTGAAGCCCTCTCTACTCTGAATTCTCCCCATGCATTGTGCTTTGCAGCACAATCAGATCAACTGATTGCTCTACTGTGTGCCTGCCATGCTGGGACCTACTGAAAATAATTCAACACACACACATGCACGCTAAAATCCTATTTGCACCCTTCCTAAACATGATTTATTTGTCTTCACGGTTGTCTGGCATTGGGAGCTTGGGAGCCTATGCTTACAGTGGAAATGACTGACTCATAAATGTTCTTATTCTAATAACTTAGAACTTGCTTTTTATTTTTAGATCCTTTAAACTCGGATGCCCCCACACCCTCCTTTTCCATGCGTTCCCGTGCCAATTGTGACCCATGCGATTTGAAAATTATCCCCTTAGTACAACTATGACCAAATTTGGCTGAACAGTGGACAGTGTCTCCCCGAGGGGAGCTAGAATTATTACATCAGGGAGAAGCCGATTCTCAGTAAGCAACAACAAACTGTCCCCAAACTGCATCTCTCAGCTGTGCAGCAACAACCGTCAACTCTTTCTAGTTTGTTTGCCGGCAGTCTGAGTGTTCCTATGAAAGTAGCTTCTGTGACATGTGGCCATTGTATGAATCCCAAATGACGTTAGATTGTGAAAACAGGGTGGCTGTGAGCTGATTAAAATGCAGCCACTGCAGGAACTGTGTTTTTAGGAAGATAAGTGAAGTATCTGAGAGGTACAACGCTGTGTTAAGGCTCTAATTTTTCCACCTACCTTCAGCTGTGATACCTGAATGCACGAGGCTTGAGCAGTGTACAGCTGTCATGTACTAACATCCATCTTTGCTTGTTTTATTTTTTTCCAGACAAAGAGACCATTAGTAAAATCCGTGATCTACGGATGAAAGCGGAGGACTATGAGGTTGTTAAAGTTATTGGGAGGGGTGCATTTGGAGAGGTGCAGTTGGTAAGAATCTGATTTTGTCCCACTTTTGAATAGACGCACAGAATATATATGAACATTTTTAACAACTTCTGTGCGTGAATGAGTCTGACTTGACTGTCACTTTGTCTTTTTGCAGGTAAGACACAAAGCCACATGCAAAGTATACGCCATGAAGCTGCTGAGCAAGTTCGAGATGATCAAGAGATCGGACTCGGCTTTCTTCTGGGAGGAGAGGGACATCATGGCTTTTGCCAACAGCTCATGGGTGGTGCAGGTACGATGTGGTGGAGAGGCATTTAAAAGCCACCTACTCTGTGATTATGTTACTCATGCAGACATAAATCCTACGAGATGAGTCTGAAATGAGTCACTGTTTTATGTTTATTGTCTCCTACAGCTCTTTTTTGCTTTCCAAGACGACCGCTACCTCTACATGGTGATGGAATACATGCCCGGTGGCGACTTGGTGAACTTGATGAGCAACTATGACGTCCCAGAGAAGTGGGCCCGCTTTTACACAGCGGAGGTGGTCCTGGCCCTGGACGGAATCCACTCCATGGGCTTCATTCACAGGTGACAGTCTGTTCCCCCGTCTTCTTGGTTTTCAGATCGGCCGCAGTAAAAAAAAGAAGAGCAAGTAGTTTTCAAACAAATATACCATTGCTAATAGAATTCCTAAGGATTCATCCAAAGCCAGCGTGTAAAATCATTTATCTTTTATGGTTTTGTGAGACGTGTGGTAGGACCTAGAAGGTGTGGTGGCAGCCTGAGAGCTAAGAAGGCATTAAGGTCATAAAGGAAGTAGTAGGACTGTTTGTCTCATGTTGTGTTAGTGCATTTTAAAACTGAGACTCCATCGACTCCAAAATTAAAATTCCTTCTTATTTGTATTCTAAAATAAAACTAAAATAAGACATTAAATGAGCTGCAGTTGCTCCCATCCTGTCTCTTTTCTGTTGTAGTCTTTCAGCGATCATTTATAGGAATTTTATGTCTCGATTTAGTTCAGTTTAATGATGCTGCTTGTAAATCTGTTTTGCCTTTTTTAAAGAATAATTAATAATCCTAACATTGGTGCGGGTTAGACAATCCTGCGATGTGCTCTCCTGTTAGCTGGAGCTTTTTGTTGCTGCAGATGATCTTTGTTTATCGGGTTTAACCTTGTGTTGTGTGCATGTCGTATGGACGTGTTGCTGCTATGTATTTACACTGATGTGACCATGTGTTCGTGTCCTCAGGGATGTGAAGCCTGACAACATGTTGCTAGACAAAGCAGGTCACCTCAAACTCGCAGACTTTGGGACCTGCATGAAAATGAACAAGGTATTGCTTTTGTTTTATTCTAACACACCTGTCCTGTCACACCACATAGATAAACATGACTTTTTTGTTATAATTTAAGGATTTTGATGGCTTCAGTTGAAAATGAAAATGTCCTAGGCACTAATCTGTTGTGGGAAAATAAATATAGCAAGCAAGTTGTTATTTATATACAAGTATAGGAGTTGTGACGATAGTGACAATGTCTCCAGGATGGTATGGTACGATGTGACACAGCAGTGGGAACTCCAGACTACATTTCGCCTGAGGTACTGAAATCCCAAGGAGGAGATGGCTACTACGGCAGAGAGTGTGACTGGTGGTCAGTGGGCGTGTTCCTGTACGAAATGCTAGTCGGTGAGTTTCAATTAAGTATTTACTTAAAAAATAAATAAATTACAGACTTACAGACGAACCTATCGGGTACTAATCGTTCTTGTGTTGTGCACAGGGGACACTCCTTTCTATGCAGACTCACTGGTGGGAACCTACAGCAAAATCATGAACCACAAGAATGCCCTGACCTTCCCGGATGACAGCGACATCTCCAACGATGCCAAGAATCTCATCTGTGCTTTTCTGACTGACAGGTTAGATAGTTCCGTCTGAGCCTCTCAGAGTCGGATGGTTTTTCTTGTGCACTAACTTCAGTATATTTAATGAAGCCATGCAAATTTCTACCTTTATACTGTCACTATTTTCTAAGACAGGCCTTTGACGTAAAGAGCTGTGTGTCAAACTTTCAGGCTTTTGAATTCGTGTTTTTCCAGCAGTTCTGAGCCCTCATTACTTCGTAGTACAAGACACATGAAATATTTGGGGCTGAAAACACCTTTGAGTTCTGTTAAGAACTGCAACCAAATCAGTTTTACTTCCACTGCAGACGTCATCGTCTAAATCCAAAATCTCATTTTCATTCAAGATGAGTTTTTCTATACCAAACTTAGAGAATCATTATTATCAGATATGTCATAGTTTCAATAACAAAACCTCACCAATTAAATGTGTATGACATAGAGGCATAGAAACAAGAATTAGTTTCCTGGATGTGTTTCTGTTTTCTTAAAATTCACTGGAGAAAGCTTCTATAAACACTCAAACTACGTGTGTTCCTCTGACCCTCACAGGGAAGTCCGACTCGGCCGTAACGGCGTCGATGAGATCAAGAGACATCCTTTCTTCAAGAACGACCAGTGGACGTGGGAGAACATCAGAGACAGTAAGAACCTTTCCACCGCTACGATCACCGATTATTTCACAACTCCCGTTTCGTTTGGCAGTCCGTTCGCTGTTATTGCAATCATGTAGCCAGTAATCATGTTTTCCATTTGACCTACTACAGACAGTCGCAGGAAATTCTTGTAGACGAGCCATTCATTCAGTATCCTCTCCAAGACCGAACGTGATTCCTGCTCGGAGTAATAATTGGCAGCGCAGCATTTTTGAGGCCAACAATGGGGAAGCAGCTCAACACAAATGTTAATGCGCTGGGATTGACACTGGAGCAGAGAGAGATTAGAAATGTAGGGCTAAATCCAGTCACTATAGTCCGTTCTTTAGTGGCTTTATATTTAATACTTCACTAGGCTGAAGTCAGCGCTTTGGTGTCGGCCACCCCCGTCGTTTCGGTGACCGACCAGCTCTGCTAGCTGCCTACTTTCCCTTGTTTTAAAGAGAGTTTCCAAAGAGAAGTCATCCTGGAAAATAAAGAAAATTAAAATGCTTGTTTTTCTATCTCTTCTCTGTTTTTGCTGTAATCTGCCTGAAGAAACAGTTATGACGGATACAATATCTTTTTAATCCTAGAGGCAAGAAAGCCGAAAAACATGTATTTTGACTGGGTTTAGCTGACCATATGCATCAAAAATATAAATGTATGTACAGTAAAAAAGATCATTTAATTTGCTCAGCAGTTTGATTTACAGTTATAGGGTTGTTTTGCCTGTTTTCTCGTGATGTCCCAACACCAGACATTTGGTCACATGTCGAACGACGGTAGCAGGTTGCAGTGAAGTTGTTGCTACACGTTTTGCCACCACTCCACATGTTGTTGTTGTTGTTTTGTATCTCCAGCGTCTGTGGCATCTGTGATACTGAAAAACAAGTGTCATCACGTTTTCAGAATTTTGGGATCGCCTTATTTCCGAACTACCAGTTTTCTGGTGGCATCCCTACTATTCACTGATGTAAACACACCTTAAACCACACAAGAGAACATTATTAACTTAGTCTCTGGAGTGTTCGTCCCTGTAAGGAAAGACGTGCCCAAACTTTTGGGAGTGTGCTCTGAAACCTGTGTTTTGGATCTGGGTTGCATCAGGGACTGTGCTTTCATCACACAGTGACTTATTGTATGTAATGTATTGTGGTGACTCTATTTTCCCGTGTATCATGAATCTTTCACCCCTTGTGCCATGTGCAGCGGCTGCACCTGTAGTGCCTGAACTGAGCAGCGACGTGGACACCAGTAACTTTGACGACATCGAAGAGGACCGGGGAGAGGAGGAGACCTTTCCCATACCGAAGGCCTTTGTGGGCAACCAGCTCCCCTTCGTAGGCTTCACCTATTACAGCAACCAACAGTAAGTCTGCCAGACTTCAGCCCTCACCATGTTTATCATCAGTGTGCAGAAGTGTCGGTCTGATTCCGTGTGGCACAGAATGGTCCACATAATTATATGAAAAGGCAGGACTGTTGCTGTGATGCAATATTTCCCATCTTAGTATGAAGTAGACGTCCACATTCCACAGACTGCACTGTCCTCATGGTTCAAATCCATTTTCACAGCAGACATTGTTTGAATACTTTGTTTTGGAGCAAACATCACATCTGCCCTTTTTCTGTAAATCCTCGTCATTATCATGTCGTACATCTTTTTATTAATGCTTTTTCTTTGTTGAAGACATCGTGGCAGTTGTTAGTTTACACTTTAAGGGTTTTTTTAATTTAATTGGTGCAGTTTGATGTTCATAATGAAACCTTCTTTCTGCAGTCCTCTGCGCAGCTCCACTGCCACGAAGGCCAGCGACAAACGTAGCAGCTCCGCGAAAGAAGACAAGAGTCATGTGAGTAGGCGATTCAGGAGAAAGCCTTTGAGATGTAGAATATCTGCTAATTATCCGTGTCGTATGATGAATTCAAATGCTGTGTTTCTGTGCAGCTGGAGAACCTGCAGAAACGAATCTACCAGCTCGAGGAGCAGCTCCACAGTGAAATGCAACTGAAGGATGAGTTGGAACAGAAATGCAGGTATGTAAATTCATTTTTTTTTGCTCTTATGTAACAGATAGCCGCTTATGTCAAGGTGCTTATTAGATTAGTCAAACTAAAGATAGGGTGCAAATTCTTCTCCGAATGGACCACAATAGCAGCACAGAGATGAGGGATTAAGATGAGCTTTGTGTGTGCTTCCTGTACTTGTGTGTACTTCTAAATGTCTAAAATGTCCGTAGATGTTATTATGATGTAGTCCCACTGTGTTCTCTGTCCCCTGGATGTGTGTGTGTGCCTGTTTGTAAAGAGGAAACCGGTCGTTAACATGCAGCCATGTACCTGAGACTTTAACGTGATAACCTTTTCCTTCTGTTCTCTCTAGGACATCAAACACCAAGATTGAAAAGATCATGAAAGAACTGGATGAAGAGGTTTGAATGCTGTTTTCTCTTCTTATGGATAATTTAAAAATTTGAATTATATCCATAAAAACGTATCTACAGCTTTTGGGTTTCGGTGATGCAGCAGGCAGTGGAGTTTAAATGTTTTACTGTTTAACATCAACGGCTGGATCGAGGATTGCTTTCTTCCTCATCACAGCTGCTCTGTTGTTTCTTGCCACAGGCGAACCTGAGGAAGAGTGCAGAAGGCAGCATGTCTCTGCTGGAGAAGGACAAGATCATGCTGCAGCACAGATTCACGGAGTACCAAAGAAAAGCTGACCAGGAGGCGGAGAAGAGGCGCAACTTGGAGAATGAGGGTAAAGATGATGAAGTTCTGCTGACACTTTGCAGTGAAAGTGTGACTTCGGAGTGAGGTTGCAGGTGGAGTCAGTATATGAACGTGGTTGTGCAAGTTTTCATCTGGAATTTCAGAAAGATTTGTTTGTAAATGAGGTCCAGTGTCATTCATTCCCCCCTTTTTTTATTTCTAGTGTCAACTTTGAAGGAGCAGCTTGAAGATATGAAGAAGATCAGTCAGAACTCGCAGGCCTCGAATGACAAGATTGCACAGCTGCAGAATCAGGTATATAATGCACACACACACACATGCAGTGGCAATAATGGAAGACGATGTGTTAAACTTTATTCTCCCTTGTTTTTGATCGACAGCTGGAAGAGGCAAACGACTTGCTGCGTGCGGAGTCGGACACGGCGGCGAGACTGAGGAAGAGCCACACGGAGATGTCCAAGTCGATGAGCCAGCTGGAGAGTTTGAACCGCGAGCTGCAGGAGAGGAGCCGCGCAACAGACGGAGAGAAGGCGCAGCTGGACAAAGAGCTCCTGATGCTTCAGAGCACCCTGGACTCAGAACGGAGGAACTACAGCCAGGGTTCAGAGGAGATCAGGGAGCTGCAAGGTGACGCACAAAGCATGACACTGACAACAAACCAATCTATCATGTCAACAAAGTAACATCACTGACAGCGTCACGAAAGTCTAGTTTTCAGTGTTGACATTTTTAAAATCTAATTTAATGCCTGTTTATAAACGACGCCACATGGCAGCGTATGAAACACAGACGCAGGTGAAAAGCAATTTGTCCTAAGCACTTCTACTGTATGTCACTCTTATTCAGACATGTAGGACTGCCAAACAGACTCTCATCTGATAGAACTCACTTCTCACTCTGTCAGTCTTATCCAATCACTGACGACGCCATCTGCATCCAAATCAGATTCATCATCAGTCACTTGTGTTTTCATGGGGACAAGCTTTTGAAAGTCATATAAAACTGGGAAATGAGAAACTGTGTTGGAAAGATGTTAAAATAATTGTCTTAAAGTCAAGCAAGCTGAGAGACAGACTGTGAAAACTGAATTATTCCCCCCCCAAAAAAGGATTTTAAGTTAAACCAGCAGCTTCCTATGATAAACACTGTGATTTTGACTGTCTGCATGTATCTGTCACTCTTAGCGAGAATGGCAGGGCTGCAGGAAGACAACAAAAACTTGAAGCTCAGCCTCTCCAAAGTGGAGACGGAACGCAAACAGGCCCAGGAAAGGAGCAATAATCTGGAGAAGGTATGCACAAGTAGTCCCAACAGTATTTACGTATACATGCTGTGTTAGTGCGTCCAACCTGTAGAAGTCTACGTGTTTACTTCTTCTCGTTTTACGCCTCCCTGTAGGAAAAGAACAACCTGGAGATAGACCTGAACTACAAGCTGAAGACGTTGCAGCAGCGTCTGGAGCAGGAGCAGACCGAGCACAGGGTGACACGGGCACAGCTCACAGACAAATACGAGTCTATCGAAGAAGCCAAATCAGCTGCCATGAATGGTATGCCAGTCCTGTGTCGGAGCACGCCCTACCCCACTTTTCCTCTCGCTTCTTTTTCTGTACGATTCCCATGTCTTTCTTTCTAAATCCCACCTGCTACGCCTTCTCTATCTCTTGTAAATTTTACTGCGTTTCCACCTTTATTTTATTTAACTTCTTCTTCACCCCATCGCCCTTATCCTCCCTCACCTTTCTCTTCTCCTTTCTGATCACGAGTCACCTCCAGGTGCTGTCTGGTTGAGAGGAATTCAAGGAGTGTAAGCCACCGAGCATGTCGGGACATTGCCTCTTTGCATATCAAAGCTTGACTGAAAAGTAGTTTTTGTAGCAGAACGTTGATCTGTCCAGGTGATTTCTTGCCTCTCGTGTAGCTCGTGGTGGACTAGAGCCTCTCCGTTAAAGATTTCTTCACCTGAAAATGAAGTTACTCTGGTGAAGGCTCATCGTTGTCCATTTTTACCGATTTACATTAAAGAATTCCTTCAAGTTTCTAAAGAATACGGTGTTTAGTGTAGTTTATGTGAAACCACAGAAGGTCCACTTTGAACAAATACAGCTCAGGATGTGTGCTTTAAATATGAAGAGGAAAATAGTGAAAACGTGCGAGAGAGAGATAGCGGTGAGAGTTGATACCTGGTGAACGGCTGATATGCAGTTTCTAGCTGTTTAATGAGGACCTGACCATTTCGCTGTCCTGCTCCAGCTGTTCAGCAGAAGATGTCGGAGGAGAACGGAGCGAGGATGAGGGCAGAGAGCCGGGTCGTCGAGGTTGAGAAGCAGTGTTCAATGTTGGAGTTTGACCTCAAGCAGTCTGTGCAGAAGATGGAGCAGCTGATGAAGCAAAAGGAAAGGCTGGAGGATGAGGTAAGGGAACGACCTGCATACATGTGAGCTTTGACGTCGTCGCTGCCTACGTAAAATACCTCGTTCTTTCCTCCTCCAGGTGAAGAGTCTGCGGATACAGGGAGAGCAGGAGTCCAGCAAGCGCGTCTTGGCCCAGAACGAGCTGAAGGGCCGCATGCAGGACGTCGACCGTCTGAGATGTTCAGAGAAGCAGCTCAAGCAGGAGATCAACACGGCACTAGAGAGCAAACGCTCACTGGAGTTCCAGCTGGCGCAGCTGACCAAGTAAATGCTCTTCCTGAATTGGAGAACTGGTTGTAATTGCTTACATGTTTTTCCCCAGGAAGTGTTCTTCATGTTGTCTCTGCACTAATCATATCACTTGAGACATGATTTAATGGGACTGAAACTAAATAAATGTAACTGGAATTATTGCTATTACTGATATTAAAAACAATCCATTTAGTATTATGGTTATTAGGAAAATAGGTTACTTTGCACCACTGAGCCAGTTAACGTTCCTCGGAAACCGTCTGGCAGCGGCTCCGGCCAGGGGTTCTAATTTTCTGTTATTGCTGCTTTGCCCAGTAAGTCTCTTTGAAAGTCAAGGCGTAAATAGCCCTACAATTGCCTGCTATTTTCAAATAAGTGCTATTATTCCAGCTTAGAGCATGACTATGCCAAAGCTGTTCTGCAACCGTGTTTACACCACAGGATTAGGGTTGACTCTCCGTCCAGCTCCATCCACTCAGTTGCTAATCCTCTGGCCAGCTCATTCTACTGCTTTCTACTACATGGGTGGACTGGGCTGACTTACATGCTGGCGCGGTCCTTACTGCTGAAGAGGGCTGCTCAGAGGCACTTAGTTATTGTGTAATATTTGCAATAGCTTTTAAAGAAAGAAAGGAAATGAAGCACATAATAAGGAGTTCACTGACTGGTGCAGATCTTCCTTCTTAAATATTAACAGACCAAACTAAAGAAATGCTGATTGACTTTCGGACTCTGCTCTCCAAACTGATGTATTTTTATGGGAAGCTTCGTAGTTTTAATGTTGACAGAACTTTTATGCGAATGCTTTTCTCTTGTTATATTGAATCTATCTTAACTTTCTCTTTTATTTGCTGGTATGACTCCCTTTCCTTAAAAAGTAAAAACACGTTACAGGGTATCGTAAGACTGTGCAGCAAAATTGCAGGGATTAACCTGAATGACTTCTCAGCCCTGTATCAAATCAGAACTTTAAGTAAGGCCCGTTCAGTCCTTACGGATCAGAGCCACCCGTTGGCTCGTGAGTTCCTGCTGCTTCCGTCAGGGCGCAGGTTCGTCCTGCCAAAGTGCAGGACTAACAGACGCAAGTATTCTTTTGTCCCTGCTGAACAAGTAGATCTACTTTCTGTTTTACTTGTTTATCGTTTTGCTGTTTGTTGTTGTTTCAGTGCGATTGTTGGACAGATTTATTGTTTTACTGCATAGCAGACTGAACACTCCTGGAATCTTGACCCCTGTTGTGCTTGTGTGACACATTAACAGACAATATAGAGGCAACGAGGGACAGATGAGGGAACTTCAGGACCAGCTTGAGGCCGAACAGTATTTTTCTGTAAGTATTAGTGAGAGGATCTCTGCCCTCATTGTTGGATATAGAAACCAGCAGCTGAACTATCGGCCTTTTCTCCCTCAGACGCTTTACAAAACTCAGGTCAAGGAACTAAAAGAGGAGATCGAGGAAAGGAACCGGCAGGTACAAGAGGCTCATAAAAAGATTCAGGACATGAACAGTGAAAGGTAAGAAACTAAATTCTGTTCATGAAGACTGCGTTTGTTATATTTACTCATCCAAATGATGACGATTACCGTCAACCTGCTCGTATTCTTTCTGTCTGCTTCGGTTGTTGTTTGATGAAACAATACCAATCACAAGAAGCTAACGCGGCGAGGATCTTTAAAACTAACTTTGTCCTGTTATAAAAAACTTTGCCTTTCATCCTGCCCACAGGGACTCCCTGTCTGCCCAGCTGGATCTGACCGTGACCAAGGCCGAGTCAGAACAGCTTGCTCGGGCGCTTCAGGAGGAGCAGTACTTTGAGCTCAGCCAGGAGAACAAGAAAGCAGTGACTCGACACAAGCAGGAGATTAGTGAAAAAGAGTCGACCATTGCACGGGTGAGCAGAACCGAAAACGTCCCTCCAGCTGGCAGCTCACTGCCCTCCTCCACACTGACATCATCGTGTTGTTTCAGAAAAACACTAATGTTGTCATTTCTGTTCAGCTCGAGGAGTCCAATAAAACTCTGACCAAAGACGTGGAGAACCTCAGCAAGGAGAAGACCGAGCTGAGCGAGAAGCTCCGGGCTCAGGAGGAAGGTACTGTCCTTCTGTTGACCTTTATGTCTCCCTGCAATATTCTAATGATGTTGTTTTACAAGCGGAGTCCCTTTTCCCTCTCAGAGTTTGCATCTCAGAAGGAGGAGATTACAAATGCAATCAAGGCAAACTACGAGAAGGTTCTCAACACAGAGCGCACACTGAAGACTCAGGTAAAGACCCACCTTCCTTGTGAGATGTACCGACAGTCACGCTGCGCCTGCTGAATAAGAGGAGAACAGCCACTGATGCTTTGTCCACCTCCATCTGTCAGGCGGTGAACAAGCTGGCAGAAATCATGAATCGCAAAGACATGAAGCTGGACCAGAAGAAGAAGGGCAGCACGGCTGATCTGCGGAAGAAGGAGAAGGAGAACCGCAAGCTTCAGCTGGAGCTCAATCAGGAGAAGGAGAAGTTTAACCACATGGCCATCAAATACCAGAAGGAACTGAGCGAGATGCAGGCGGTGAGTAGACGTCACAGCACCCTGCGGCCTCCAGTACGATAATCTGACAACTGGTTGTGACCCAGATCTCTCGACCTTCCTCCCACCAGCAACTGTCGGAGGAATGCACGTATCGCAACGAGCTGCAGATGCAGCTGGACAGCAAGGAGAGTGACATCGAGCAGCTCCGGGAGAAACTCAGCGACTTGCAGCAGCGCATGGATAACTCGAGTGTCACCAGCCTGCAGACGGACGAGACGGACAGTAACATCGCAGGTATGATGACGGCGGTGTGTAACAGGACACACGTTCACAGTGTGTTCCTGTGTGTGTGTTTTCTAGCGTCTGATTCAAATAAGTTGTGTGTTTAAGATCTCTGTTGTTGTTGATCTTGATGTACTTTGTCCCAGATAATGCAGAATGTGTGGACACAGTTCCTCCATAATAAGAACTCTCTGAATGTGATTTTTTTGGACTTACATTTTTATAGGTTTTACCTTTTTGAGCTTTTGCCTCAATATGCTGAAGGTAACAGATTTTCTCGTTGCTGAAATCAGTCTGTTTCCCAGGTTTGGTGCATCGTGCCTTTAGTAGATTTTTTTTTATAATTAGAAAATAATGGGTGTTTTTATGAAACAGACAGCTACACGTGTATGTGTGGCTGGTACATAGATGTGTATATAAAGCAGAGAAAACCACAGATTTATTCATATCAAGCTTTAGTGGCATATGCTGATTTGGTGCACCGTCTTTTTCCTAAACATGAATATAAATATATCCTGTACTAGGTCTGTGTGTGTTTTAAATGTATTGGTGTCTGTAGTTAAATCCTTCTCTTCTTATTTCCCTCATATCCAGTTGGTTCTCCTTGCTCTTCTTATCTTTGTAACTTCCATTCCTTTTCCTCTGTGAGTAACTGCGTGGACGAGCCCATTCTACCCGGCCTGTGCTGCAGCTGTAGTTTGTCGTTTTTTGCCCCTGATTTTTATTATTAAGTGTTCTTTTGCCAGAGGTGCTGCAGCCACCTCTGTGTCGACAATTCAGCAACACTTTTGAAAGAAGTCTGACAGAGTGAGGAGCAAATGGCTTGTGGAAAAAACGTCAACTCATTCTTAAAAACGAACAACTAACACGAACAGGATGTTAGATGACAGCGCTGGCAGTCACGAGGCCAGCGCCAGCAGCAACGTAACCGAATTAGAGCAGGCTGTACTGACGACACCCTGTGTGAGGTTTACCGCATCACTCTCAGCACCTTTCAAATGTGTCCTGAAACTGAAAAAGCAGCTTTTAATTCATGGTGCCGTGCTCTTCAAACACGTAACACTCCTGTTGTGTCTTTGTTGGCATGTTCACTAGACGTTTGGACACGAAGACGTCGCTCACGATGCCACATTCAGTTGACGAGCCCGTTTAGTTCACCGATCCCGTTGAGCTTGTGTTGTTTTAGCTGCATGCACTTGCATTTATGATTTTCGCACCACATGATGTCAGATCTATCTTAAGATGCACACGTTTGTTTCTGTGGACGGAGTGAGTGATCAGACTAATTGAATTCCTGCTGCAAAGCTATGATTATAGCATTTGAACTAAATTGAAGCCGCTCTGTTAACATGCTATCAGAGGGAGTTGCCTTCGCCTAATGTTCTCCTCCTGCATGGGAGTGTCCAGTAGCAGCATGGGATGTCTGCAGTCAGTTCTCGTCACCTACTCCAGTGCAGTCACCTTAACACTGGCAGAACTCCCCGAACAATTCATCTGGTGTTTTGAAACAGTTTACAATTTTTGACTTTTTCTTTTTTTTTTCCTCCCAAGTTGAGTTTGGATTTAATTGCTGCATGGCCTTTTCCCAAAAGTCTTTCATTGTTTTTACACGTGTTGAAGTGTTTCTGTGCATCTGCTGCTTCCAGAGTCCCGACTGGAGGGTTGGCTGTCCATTCCTAATCGTGCTAATATCAAGCGATATGGATGGAAAAAGCAGGTATGCTGCATGTTGAGCTTTGTTATGCTGCAACAACGAATGCTTCCAAGACCTTGAGGGCAAAACCAGGTTTCTTCTTCTTTTTGTTTTCACAAGTATGTGGTGGTGAGCAGTAAGAAGATTCTGTTCTACAATGACGAACAGGATAAGGAACAGTCGAACCCTTCAATGGTACTAGATATTGAGTAAGTATTTTTTTCGTGTCATCCTCTTTTTGTATCTGCCACAGTTTCTCCTCAAAACTGTGGACAACAGGACAACGAGTTAGTAGGACTGACACACATGTCATCTCTAATGTTGTGTCTTTTTGTGCAGCAAACTGTTTCACGTGAGACCCGTCACACAAGGAGACGTGTACCGAGCTGAGACGGAGGAGATTCCAAGGATATTCCAGGTAGGACACTCGTCTCTGTCCCTAAGTTTCATCCTTGATTTTCGTTCAGCCTGGACTAGATTCTGCTCCGCCGGAGAAATGTTTGGTGCAGAATATCTGACCAGGCCCTCTCTCTCTCTCTCCCTTCGCCGATTCAGATTTTATATGCCAACGAGGGCGAGTGCAGGAAGGAGGCGGAGATGGAGACGGTCCCTCAGGGCGACAAGACCAACTGTCTCCCACACAAAGGCCACGAGTTCATCCCCACGCTGTATCATTTCCCTTCCAACTGTGAGGCCTGCGCCAAGCCTTTGTGGCACGTCTTCAAGCCACCTCCGGCCCTGGAGTGTCGCCGGTGCCACGTGAAGTGCCACAAGGACCACCTTGACAAAAAGGAGGATGTTATTGCTCCTTGCAAAGGTAAAGTCTTGTCCTTTATGGTTTACGTCTAAACAATATCTGTAAATCTAGTCGATGTTGAGGCCTTCACATTACTGCTCAGTCTGTGGTGTGTCACTCCGGCCCTTTGGAAGGTTTTTATTGCAGCTAACGTAGAGATCTCCTTGCATACAAACAACAGTCATGTTCAAATTCAGTGTTACTCACCACAACACACTGTGCATTTCCTCTTGGTCTGTATCAATCATTGTGTCCTATAAAATATCTCCACAGCTCATGTTTTAAGTATTTCAAACATTGCATTCTTTACAGATGTCATGTTTGCTAGCTAGCATTTTTCCTCCTGGCTTTTGTTGACAAACTGCAGCGTGTCTCGGTGCGTTGCTGCCACTTGTTGATCAGTGGACTCGTGTGAAACCACTGGCATGAGCATGATGTGGTGCACACGTGTAAACAACATGGGAAGCCTGCTGATAAGAGCAGCTCCATAAAGAACCTTTAATGCGTTACACCGCCAAAGCAAAAAATAAATAAAATGAAATTGCAATTTGTAAGCATATCTCATTAAACGAGCACCTCATGTTCAGTGTGTTGATGTTGTCAGTGTTTTAGTCAGTAATTATAAGAACACCCACATCCTAAAGAACATATTAAGAACTTAATTAAACCAAAATCCAAAAAAACATTCATGCTTTTCTTGATCTGTTATGATCATAAACTGTATCTCACTTGTTGTTTAAGCATAACAGGTAAATTAAATATGTCGTCTTGGGATCTGTGACATTGTGATTAGCATTTATAAATATGTTCAGAAATGTTATCGCCCTCAAGCATTGATTAGTCACATTGATCATGAAGCTAATCCGTAGCTGTACCATGACTGTTGAGGTGGCAGATGCCGCCTAGTGGAGGTGGTCGCCGTCAGACTTGTTAACCTGTAACGCTGTCTGCCGTCGCCTCACAGTAAACTACGACGTGACCTCCGCCCGGGACATGCTCCTGCTGGCCCTGACCCAAGACGAGCAGAAGAAATGGATTGGCCACCTTGGAAAGAAGATCCCTAAGACCCCGCCATCAACATTTTCAAGAGCCTCGCCTCGTTCTATGTCCACCCGCTCTGGACCCAACCAGTCCTTCCGCAAGAACCCTAAAAGCAATACGGCAAAGCTGAGGTAACTTGAGTTTTAGGTTTTCAAGCCATTTCCAAGTGTTTTTTTTAAACTGTGATTGAATTTAAAGACATTTCCAGACACTAATGTTGACATAACTATGGATAACTGCGTAGCGTTCAGTAGAGCAGAGTATTCTTTCAGGCAGTGAGTGAGGGTGTGTTGCAGTCAGAAGTCTTTTTTTAATCCCATCTTGTGGGCTGAGATGTGGTCTAGTCAGTCACATGACCTGCTGTTTGTCTCCTGTGTTGTAGCAGAGCGCAGTCCAGCCTCCAAGCAGCAGACACAACATCCAGCACTTGTTGACAGGAACTTCTTCAGAAAGTGTTGATGTGTTGTTGTTTTTTATTTTTTTAGACTTTTTCCTCTACGGCTTTAAACTTGTCTATTTATTAATTGTGTAACTTGGCGTTTCTAACACGACAGACACTTCCTGGTTGGTTGGTTGACTCCTGGGCTCTATCCAGTGGACACTTGGGATTTTTCTAATTGGCACTAATGTGTTATTGGGCTCAGTGACTAACTTCATCGACTTACTTTGCAACTCTCATTAGACCGGTCCACGTTAAGGATTTTTACCTGTCATACATGATGCGAAGCTGTTGATGGTGTTCCCGTGTCTGTGAAGCAGCTTTTCTGTTGTGTGTGTGTGTGTGTGTGTGTGTGTGTGTCAGGGTGGGTTACTAACCAAAGCAAAGATGTCGTCTTCCTTTTACTGGACACCTGTCTCTGTTCTTTCTTTCAGCTAACCATCTGAAGCGTTGGGATTTTTTTCTGGACTCTAAACTTTCCCTCCTTCCTCATCCTCAAAAATGGAAAAACCTGTATTACATAGAAATCTCATTAAAAACAAAAAAAATATATATATATTGATAATTAACCAGCGCTGGGAAAATGCAGCACGTGTCAGATACAAGGCATGACGGACATTCAAACGCCTGATCTCCATCTGCATTTCCACGTTCAAGAGAAACTCACCGACAAACTTGCAGCTCTCCATTTCTACCAGAAGATGGCACACTCGTCTCGAACTAAAGATGGACAACAGAGAGATGGACGGACTCATGTCATGTAGACACTCTGTGCTTCATATCAAATGACAGTTGTAACGGAAACTGGAAGGTAAAAGGGGGTTTTGCTGGGACTCCTGCAAGTATGTGTTCAGTTTAAGGTACTGTCATACAGGGATTGCAGATCTGCAGTGAAAGGTTGACTCAGGGGCGGAAAATGGATTTCTATTTAGTAATTTCTTTGCCCACCTGACAGATACGTGAGCTACATGCAAGCATACTTTTGTTTCCAGCTTAAAAAAAACAAAAACAATGACTGATGCCTTCATCTAATGTCTCTGGCCTTTTTGCCTTTTATTCTTATCACTCTGCAAGTCAGTTATCAGGTTTGGGACAGCGTATTGGGACATGAGTATTAGATGTTTTGAGTATTGAGTGAGGAGCATGCAAGATCATCATTTAAATCTATGCATTATTTTTATTATAATTATTTTTATTGCTCCAAGCCATAAGGAAAGTTCCATTGTAATGGCATATAGGAGTCCTAAAACTTAATGGATTTTTTTCTGTTTATTTGGTACATTGTCTCTGTAATATTTTTTCTTGTATTGTTTTTTTTTTTTTTTTTTTTTTTTTTGTAATGTATTGCCTTACATTGATTCATAGATAAATGGTTCAAAAGGAAAACATTAAGTTAACAAATGTAAAACTGCACTGTTTGACTTGACTGTAAATTATTTGTAGAAGACTAAACAGGTGTAGCATTTGGCCCACCTAGTGCCTTAACGTTTGGATATTGATTTTACTGCCATATCTGTTGTTTCTTTTTTTTTTCTTCTTCTCCAAAACAAGACAAATCTTAACTCTTCCATCATTTATTTTTTAAGAATTTGCCACATTTGTGGTTTTATCAGAACTTACTTTCTCTGGTTTGAGTATATAAAATATATATATTAGATTACCTCTTTATGGACACATTGCAATAGAGTTTGTGTCAATACAAAGCCCCCCCAGACTTAGATCATATGACGAATTTCAGGAGGAAGTACCTAAAGCGAGCCTCCCTGTGTCAATGATTGTGCTTGGTAACAAATACAAGTCGTTTCTCTAACACGGTGATGTCCCGTTAATGCAAACCCCCCCAGTGTAAATAATGAGAGAGACATAAGGATTATGGAATACCTCCGCAGTCTTTTTATTTGTAACTTTTTTGTTCAGTTAAAGAAAAAAAAAAAAAAGCACTGGAACTATGATCTACTCTTGTCTTGGATAATTTGCATGGTTAAATTGCATTGGAGTCCGCACTGATGGATATGTCAATAAACATATCTTTATCATTCATTGTATGCTAGTTTTCACTGAAGATATCCACCATGTGCGTAGCATGTTTATGATCAGGTTATACAGGAAAATGTCTGGAAAATTCCACTGAATGCTGATTTAATTATGAATTTTTGGCATGTGTCGTGCAGAACCACAATTTAAATCGACTCGTTCATGGATTTAATTGTATTTCTGTAATCTTCAGGCTTCATTTTGTGTCAACATTCAGGATTAAGAGCCTTAATATTTCAGTTTTGTGCGTACATGTTGAGTAATTCTAAATTAGCATGTCATCAAATTACCAAAAATAATAACTGTTGTGCCAGATAATATTCCAGCAGACTTCAACTGAACAAACTCTACGGAGACTTGCATCAGTTATTGGAATAAATAGACTCAGGCGAGTTTTTAATGTGCTGGGAAAACTATCATCTGTTCAAAGTTTAGTCCGCTGAACAGACACAAGAAGCCTGACTCACACATGCTGTAATTAATGCGTCTGGATGGATCTGGGTGAAGACGATCTGGGTGCGTGTGTGTAGCCTGGATGCGTTGCAGGTCGACGAGCAGATGTCAGAGCGCGTCGATAAGTTCCCAGCGTGTTGTTGCAGCGTCATTCTGTTTGAATGAAGTTCAGACCGAGAACTAGCCAACTCTTCATTCGCGCCCCGGTGGATTGAAACAGGAAAAAAATAGAGTTGAGGAAGTAAAAGGTTGCCAAATATGCCGGTGTTTACAGGTATGATATGATTTTAACACGACGAATTCATTGCCACGGGAAAAGACGGAGGAAACGCGAATCATTACACGTGTTTTTTTTTAGTGCAGCAGCATAAATTACATTAGCTTGCTACCTTAGCTATCTTTAGCGTGATATGCAGCTAGCATGCTAACGGTGGTGGGCACCGGGAAGTCTGTCAGCCTTGTTGTTCTTTAGGCCACTGGTGGAGTTATTTTAGAAAACAATATTGTGAGACAAGAAAATATCCAAAATTATTAGCCTTGTGTAACCTCGTGGCTGATTGTTAGCGTTGTTCACGGAATGTTTTTGGCGAAGCCGGCTATGCTAACTGGCATCTGACAAACCAGAAAACAGCTACTGCCGCTAATTGTCAGCTAGCTGAGGTAGCAAGCTAACAGCTAAGTGAGGTGGTTAAATAGTTATTTAAAGTCCTTCACTTTCACCACAACGTGGACGTTTTAGCTTCGTTCTTGCCATGTTAAGCACTTTATGTGTCTTATTTGGCAACAGCACGAAAATACCAGAATCACGCCTTTTTACCAGCTCAGTTAGCATTGCTAACAAAGCTAGCCATATCACGAGTGTACAGTGTATACGTTTTTTTTGGACTGCTGTTGCTGCTAGTGGGAGACTAACAATCCGTAGAGCACACGGCTTTTCTGTTTCAACGCGACAGTAATCGCATCTGAGTTTCTAAGGACGGCTAGTCAAACGCTGTTTAGCACCAAACAGACAGTCAGAAAACTGTATTTGGTAGCTTTCACTTTGTGTTTGTGACCGACAGCCACTTGGACTGTCCAGTTAGCTGCCTGATTTTTTTTGCCCCACTGTTGCTAACTAGTTGCTGTGTCATACATGGCAGCAGTTTGACAAAGTTGTGGTGTTTTCTATGCCTCACTTTGGTAGGCTATGATATGTATGTGCCATTTCTGTTTTGTTTTTTGTTTTTTCAGTAAATGTGAAATGGGGCAAAGAGAAGTTTGATGCAGTGGAGCTCAACACTGAGGAGCCTCCCATGGTGTTCAAGGCTCAGCTCTTTGCCCTGACAGGAGTTCAGCCAGACAGACAGAAGGTCATGGTGAAGGGAGGCACTCTGAAGGTTTGTGTGTAAACAACAGGAAAGACAAAACACAGCCCTGTGGCTTTTCTTTTACTTCCTGCACCATTCTATTGTTTTTCTTGTTGTCAGCAGATCCCATGAAAACCCAGAACCATTTTTCCAACCAACTGTTCCCTTTAAGAAGTACGGCCTGTGTAGCTAAAGCCTGATTGGAATTCCATTCTTGTCCAAAACACGTCAATTAGCAATTACATGCAGTGACATGTTTGCTGTTTGTGTGAATGTATTTAAAGTTGATCGTTCGAGCACCTTCTTGCTGTTTACGAGAACAATTGTGCAATAAGCCACCGCTAAAAATAGTGGTGCTGCAGCCAGTGGTTGTCCTCTATTAGACTGATAATTGATGTTGGAGTAATCTTATTTAAGTAAAGTCTCCAGTCTCTGTGTCTAGTCTTTTAAATGTGAGTATTATTTTGGCGTGCTTCCTCGTCTTTGGCAGTCGACTTGAATCTCTTTGGGTTGTTGACAAAACAAGAAATTTAAGGATGTCATCTTGGGCTTTTTGGAAAAACATCTTTTTCATTTTTTATTATTTTCAGACGTTTTATAGACTAAACAGCTCATCGCTTAATCTAGAAATAAATTCATAGATTAGTTGACAACAAATATAATTGGCAGTTTTTAAACATGGAAAACATAGTTGTGCTTTTTTATTGTTAAGTTTGAGAGACACGTTATGACTCTGGTGGTTTTGGTCTTTTCATGAGACTTGACAACAGATCTGTTGTTCGGTTTTTAAAGAGCTAACCAGCGTTTTATTTCCATTGTAGGATGATGAGTGGGGAAACATTAAACTGAAAAATGTGAGTATTTGAGTTGCGTTTGAGAGCATGCAGCAGTTGTTTTTGTTTTTACAGAACCAGACCACAGATTTGTGATCGACTTGTCGTGTGTTTTATTCCTGTCGTAGGGAATGACTCTGCTGATGATGGGCTCGGCAGACGCCCTGCCTGAGGAGCCTGCTGTCCGGCCCATGTTTGTAGAGGACATGACAGAGGAGCAGCTGGCCTCAGCGGTGAGTAAGCTCGAAAATTACCAGTGTGCCTCCAACAAATATAGTGATTATTGCTTTCTGCGCTGACGTGACCAGTTGAGATGTATTTTCCTCGATGCCGTGTTTACCGAGTAGAAACCAGATCGAACTACATGTACAGTGTGGAGCATTCTGAGTGCACTGGCTGCTGAACAGTTTCATTCCTTTTGTATTTGTTTGCTTCAGAATGAGATTACACGATAAGCTGCAGTCCAGTCATGTTACTGCCATAGATTTATTAAAGTGTTTTACTGAGGAGAAAGTACGCATCATACTCAAAGTGCAGCACGAATTACAAACTGCTGTGTCACTGTGCTGCTGTTTTCTTTGCACTTTCATCTGAGTCTGGAAATTGTCAGTTCTTCATCGTTGAGACTCGTGTTTTAAGGGAACAAAAGGTGCTGACTGGATCGTCTGTGACGGTGCCAGCTGGAGCTCTTCAATGAAACCCACACAAATGTGTGTTGCTGTTGTTTTTAATGTGTTTGTGGCCATAAAGCTCTGCGGTACTGAAAACTCTGTGATGCTGGAAACAGGCCCGTTAATCAAGAAAACAACTGCAAAAACACAAGACCC